TCATGAGTCGGGTCCACAAGGTCTCCATGAAGTCTCGGAAGGGTGTGGGGGAAACCCTCCACGCCCCGTACCTCCTTACACTGTCCACTATCAACCTAGCAGTAGTGGCAATATCCTACCCAGTAGTCTGGCCGTCCTGCACCATATAGGGCGAGTGGTATGTAAGGCTTCCCGATGAATCTGAGTACTAGTAAGTCCTTAGGGATGATCAAGCCAGAATGTCTTCATCAGGGTTTCCATTTATCGTGCCACCACAGCACCTCCTCCCTGGGCTCCTCCCATCATAGGTTCACACCCAGGGCCACCTCATATACCATTTACCCACCACAGGTATCCATTCCAGGGGTGCCCAGGTAGCACCCCACGGCAAGACTTGCCCTAGGCTAATCGTATACTCCAACTTGGTCGACACAGCCCTCACCCTCCACGCACCCAAGTCACACACGCAACACTCTCCCCATAGTCCAGATAACACCAGTTTTCCACCACGCATCAATGTAGTACAAGCGTAGTAGAAGTAATAAGCAATGAAATATAGCAGCAAATGTGTGACTAGCCTAACAGCAGGGTGAGCAGGGGTAAGGTTGTGTCAAGGTAAAGGTCATCAAGAAAGCATACTACCATGCAAGTCCTATCATAGTGTGGTCATAACAATAAAGTAAAGCACTAGCATTTCTATTTTAGCCATGCGTAATAGGTGCTACGAGATTGGGTGGGATGTGGCACCTTCAGTGTAGTCATCTCCGTACTCCTCATGGTACTCTCGATCCTCGTCCATCTGGTTCTCCTCCGAGTCTGCAAACGATCGCATTATAGTCACGTTAGTGATGTCTATAGAATAGCACAAAGAAGCAATAAAAATTCAAAAGAGCCAAATGCACTCAAACATGGGTTCATTGTGTAGAGCTTGATTTTAGATGAATTTTGGTCCTAGTTTCATATTTTTCTGAGGTCGTATGAATTAATTATGAATTTCTGAAGGTTAAATCCATTTATAAAAATGGGAAAAGCTGAATTAATCCTGGGCTGACACGTGTCACACTGTGACTGGTCCACGTGGCGTGCTGACACCAGCATGATGTCAGCATAGCGTCATCATCTCGGTTCCGAGCTGACATGTGGGGTTTCGCTGGCGTCATCTTGACGTTAGCATGACGTCATCAGTTCCGACAGGTGGGACCAGGGGCTCTTGCGTCACTGACATGTGGGTCCGGTCAAGGTCAATGCCAAGTCAACGGTCAACGGATCACAATCACTAACAGGTGGGGCCAGAGCTGCTATCGTCAGCAGCTGACGTCATCGTGACATCATCATGACGTCACCACGGCTGTTTCATCCTATGCCAAGTGGGTCTCGCATGGCGGTGTCACTGACAGGTGGCCCCGGTCAATGGTCAACGTTGACCGGTCAATGGTCAATATGGGTCGGGCCTAAACTGGGCCGGTTGGGCCTCGATACGGGCTAGGCTTTGGCCCGCCACATGGCTTCGGCACAGAGCGCCACGGCGCCTTCTGGATTCCGGGTCGGGCTCGAGTCCACGGCTCACGGTCTATGGTGGACACATGCGTCGGTCTATGGTGGACCGCTTCTCCTTCCGGTGAACCGTGTCCACCCTTCTCGCCTCTCTATGGTCTACGTGCACCGGGTGTACGAGTGGGCGGTCCAGGGAAGAAATTTCCCCCCCCCCTTCCTCCAAGCGGTGGGTTCCCACCGGTGGCGTACCTCGCCGGCGAGCCTCGTTGGAGGCATAGGGGTGCGGTAGTGTGGTGCTATGGCTTCTCCAAGGTGCGGTGACTCCAACGGTGGCGCTATTGCGGCGGCCAAGGTTTCCCAGGGGTCTAGCCACGGCGACGGCTGCTCGAGCACGATCGGCGTATGAGGATGGCGCGGTTGCAGCGGCATAGACCGGATTTGTTGTGCGTGCGAGCATCACGATGCTCCAGCGGGCTTGTCGGGTAGGTCGAAAGGTCGTCTGGAGCCCCTAGTGGCTTTGGCCACGATGGCAGCTCGATTCAGCCATGGCGGCAGTCCGGTGGTGAATGGCGCAAGCTAGGTGGCGTAGCAGCAGACCCCTTTCCTCAAGAATGAGCACGTGGCATGTTCATCGACATGGCGGATTGTGTCAAGGTGCTAACGGCGTCCCTAGTGCGGTGATGTGGCGGTGGTGACCCCATCGCGGCCGTACTCTGGCTGCGACGCGCTTGCTCTGAGCGTGAACCGCATCGGCGTGTTCGAGCACCGCGCTCGACATCATTCCTCCTAGGGTCCTGGCATGTGCGTGCATGTGCAGAGGGCGTGAGCGTGTGCGCTAGCAGGGGCGTGCTCGAGCACGATCGGCTCAACGTCGCCGCAGCGTGCGTGGTGTGTGTGCGTGCATCGGCGTCCATGGGGCTAGGAGAAGGTCTCGGCAGCGAGGGACTCACCGTCGGTGTCGAAGGCGAAAGGATGGTGGTGCAGTGGTGGGTCATGGCCATGTCGAGACGAAGTCGTGCAGTGTCGAGCAGCGCCGACGTGGTGGATCGAGGCGTCGTCCTCCGCTGCGGTGACACCGGCGACGTCGGGCGGCTTCGACGCTCATTCCTCTTCCTCTACCCCCCTCTTTCTCTTGGCTCGGGTGTGCGGTGGACGGCCACAAGGTGGCGGCGGGCATGGGAACACACTAGGGAACCGGGGCCGGGGCTTTTATAGCCGAAGCTCGGCCAGGCATGGAGCGAGCGGCTGGGGATGGCCAAGGGGCACGCGGAGGGCTATGATCGCGTCGAGGCTAGGGCTACAGGGGTCACGACGCGGCCGCGGGTGCGTTGGCGAAACCAATTTCGTGTTCCTTGGTCAACAAGGCGGGGGATAGGGGGCCGACAAGGTCACGACTTGGCCATGGCCATGGCAGGAGCGCGCGGCAGCGGTCATGCACCGTGCGTGACCCTGTCGGGTAGCCGGTGCCTGCATGGCACCCATCCAACGGGCTTCGTAGTCGGTTGTGAGGCACGGACGGCGGAGAGGGGCCGAGGCGGCATCGGATTCCCCCCACGGCATCTACGCTCTGTTTTCCGATTGCAGAGGAGGGGACCAAGGAGGGGGATGACTTCGGGGGTCCATCCGTCAGCGAAGCAGGGGAAAACGACGGAGTGGTGGCGGGGGCTGGCTGGCTGCTGCGTGGGCGTCTTGGCGATCAGGCCAGAAGCTCGCTTCTGGTCTAGCGTGTGGGCAGGTGAAGCCAGGAGGGCGAGCTAGGCCGGCTGGTGGAAACAGGCAGGCTAGGCCGATCGGTGTCTTGGGCTACGAGGCTAGCTCCTCCCTTTCTCTTCTTTTTCTGTTTTATTTTTCTTCTTCTTTGCTTGAATTCAAATTTGATTTAGAATTTGAATTCATATCTGGTGTACCTTATTCGTTGGAGTTTTAGGTATGAGGCCCACAATATTCTTTTATATATATTAGGAACTTTATTTAGCTATTTTGTATAACAAAAATAGGTGTAGTTTTGTTATACAAAAATAGAAATAGTTTTCTCTTTAAGCATCAATTATTTGGTTTGATTAATAATTACTTTATGGTTTATTTCTTTAAAGGAGTTGTTAGGCATTACATAAAGCAAATAGAAATCTAAATTACCATTTGAGTTAACAATGCATGCTATATTTTATTTGTCAGTATTTAAATAAACATAATTAACAAATGACATGCCATGCTCATGAAATTGTTTAGTTGGGTTACAACTAATGCAACACCTAGGGTTGGCTCCTACAGATGTCACTCAACATTGCATGGGGTTTTGAAGAAAAATTTTGTAGTTGTGATTTTTGGTGTGTGGATTTTTGAGTTGTTACAGATGACATGCTACATTTAGGTTTGTTTGGTCAAGCTTCGGCCGGCTTTGGCTTCGGCTTCGGCTGTCAACTCCTTCATGCACTAGAGCAATTTTAGGGTCAATTTGGCAGAGCTCCCACAACAGCTTTCAGGCTAAATCCAGGAGAAGCTCTATCAAACTATTTTTTTATTGAGAAGTAATTCTTTGTTGATTCTGTGAAGTGATTCTCTGAAATAAACTAAGAGGCTGGGTGCTAAAAAAATAGCTTCTTCTGATGCACTCCACGCACACATCAAATCACTTTGTGCATAGAGACTATCCTAGAAAATCATAGAGAACCAATTTTAATCAGAGAATTACTTCTCATAGAGAATCAGTTTGTGCAGAAAATCTAGAGAAAAGAAGAGCTCTGCCAAATTGGCCCTTATTTTTCTCTTAAAAGGATCCAGTAAATCTACTATTTTTTGTTGGCAATATATCATATGCAAACCTACTAACCTGTAAAAACTTGAAACTACCAATCAGGACCACTGGATGCTGATCTAATGGATAGGGTGAGGGGCTTAAGCAAAAAAAAAAAAGAACGGCAGGTGGAGGGCTTAAGCGCAAAAAAAATCCCACCTCTCACCTTATTCATTGATCAGCATCAATGATTCTAATTGGTAGTTTCTAAGTTTACATAGTTTAATTAGTTTACATCTGATACGTTGCCTTTTTTTTGTTTTACTGGTTCCGACTACTCCGCGTAATGTAGCAAGGAGCTAAAGATGTTTTGTGGAGGTCTTAAACGAGACTTTGTATTATTAAAAAAAATATTGAATCGGATAGTGGTAGCTAGAGCCTAGAGGCCAGCGCAACAGAAAATATCAAGATTTTTCATACGTCTTTCGAGAGCATGCATGACGTCGACGCCGCTTCTGACCGAATCTAATTTGGCCTCTGACTAATCTTTGCCTTCTCTTGGAGTCTTCTCTTACACGACTCTACGACGAGCTAGTAGTAACCACGAAATCACTATTTATATGAACAGTGTTTTCAGACAGAACAACGTCGTAGCCCACCTTCTTGCATTGCGTCTATATAAGGCCTTGGGTTTGTGTTGGTGAACTAAAGCAAAACCTTGGCATAAGCACGCTGGAGAGATACCAGCCATAGAGGAAACTAACACAACTCCTACCAATTGAAAAGCAGCAAGATGAGCAAGATGCTTCCCATCGCAGCAGCCCTCCTTTTCTTCTACGGCACCGTGGCCCTGCTCGGAGCTGCAGGCAGCCAAGCCGCGGTGGTGGAGCACACCTTTGTTGTGAGTAGAAATGCACGCCTTCTGCTCGGGCAACCGAGATGTGTTTTTTCATTTTTCAAAATTAATATCTAAATAATGAAAATCCGGAACAACTCTTGAGTACCTTTTGCATGCGCATTTCTCTACATAATTTCTCTTATTCCATTTTCATTGTTATTGTGCCATGTGGAGAAAACGGAGCAATTTGCATTTGTTTCTTTGCACAGGCTACTATGAATTGGCAAAACAAATTAGTTAAGAAAATTTTCAGGTGCAAATAGTACTAAAACATTTTGAAAACATATGCTATGGTTTCTACTTCTTGGAGTTGATATACGTACAGTTCTGTTGTATCCAATCAAGATACTGTATTACTTTAGCATGGTTCAATAAAAGAGTTGTGCGCATCTTTTCAACTGAAAGCCTGATAGATTTGTTTGTTTTTTACCTGATGAAAAGATCATAACCCGGTGCAACTGCTTAATTACAGGTAAAGCAAGTGTATATTCGACACCTTTGCAATGATACGCTGGCCACCGTGGTCAACGGCCAGTTTCCAGGACCACCGGTAGAGGCTACGGAAGGGGACACGGTGATTGTACACCTCGTCAACGAGTCACCCTTTGGAATAACAATTCACTGGTACGTGTATATCCCCAATATTCTGATTAACCTCCTCTAAAAAAATATTGTAACGTTACTTCGTATCATCAATTTGGAATGGAAAAACAACTGATTTCAGGTATGATGTGCTTCATTCTAATCTAATTCACCAAACATATATATCCTCCTATGATGATACAGGCATGGCGTAAAGCAGCGACTAACGTGTTGGGCGGATGGCGCCGGAATGGTAACACAGTGCCCAATCCAGCCGAACTCCACATTCACCTACCGGTTCAAGGTGGACGGCCAGGAGGGTACGCTGTGGTGGCACTCTCACGTCTATATCCTCCGGGCAACCCTGCACGGCATCATCATCATCCGCCCAAAGTCCGGCTCCTACCCATTCAAGAATCAGCCTCACATGGATGTTCCAATCATCATAAGTACGTAATTAATTAGCCTCTCTCTCTTTTTATTTGTTGTTATGGTATGCGTGCCGGTCAGGTTTGTAGAAAAATATCAGCAACATTTATATTTCTAAATAGATTTATTAAAAAAATAGATTCAACGATCTATCTAATAATGCTAATTATTTATCATAAATATTATTCTTTTTTGTATAAATTTGGTTAAAATAAAGTATGTTTCGCTGCTCGGAAATGAGTACGTCTCTAGCAAGATGCATGCATCGTTATCAAGCCCAATAATATATATATATATATATATATATATATATATATATATATATAGCTTAGATTAATTGCTTGTTCGATCGAACGTGCTTGCAGGTGAATGGTGGCAGAGAGATTTGATGAAAGTGGACAGGAACTTCTCCAATGGGGGCAATTTCGATGATAACCCCGCTGGGTCCACCATCAATGGAAAACTTGGTGATCAATACAACTGCTCCGGTATACATACATATATATACTTTCGCAGTCGAGAAGTCCTCATGAAAATTAATTTGCCAGACATGCATAATAACGTCAGCATGCCCTGTTCTGCTGCAGGCGTCGTAGAAGACAACTTCGTTCTGAACGTGGAGCGTGGCAAGACGTACCTGCTCCGGCTAGTGAACGGGGCGCTCTTCTCCGAGTACTACTTCAAGGTCGCCGGCCACAAGTTCACGGTGGTCGGCGCTGACGCCAACTACATCACGCCATACACCACCGACGTGGTCGCCATCGCGCCCGGCGAGACGTTCGACGTCCTCATGGTCGCCGACGCGCCGCCCTGCCGCTACTACATGGCCACCCTGGCCAACCAGCCGCCGCTCCCGGACCCCCAGATCCCGGTGTTCGTGTCCAGAGGCATAGTGCAGTACACGGACATCCCCCGCGCCGACGCGGACAGGTGCAGAGACCAGCCGCCCCAGATGCCGGAGATGCCCAACCAGCACGACACGATGACGACGTTCTACTTCCACGGCAACCTGTCCGGCCTGCCCACCCACCCGCTGCTGCCGCAGCTCCGGGGCCGCGTCGACGAGCACCTCTTCATCTCGCTCGGCAAGGGCACCATCTGCCGAGAGGACAAGCCGTCCTGCAAGAGGGGAGGCAGCGACGAGGCCATCGAGGTGGCCTACATGAACAACGTCTCCTTCCGCCTCCCCGAGAAGATGTCGCTGCTGGAGGCGCGGCAGTACGGCGCCAACGACATGGCGGTGCAGGAGCTGCCGACCAGGCCGCCGAGAGTGTTCAACTTCACCGACCCGGCGCTGATCCCGGTCGGCCCCGGCGTGCCGCTGGAGAAGCTGGAGGCCACGCGGAAGGCCACGACAGTGCGGCGGTTCAAGCACAACGCCACGGTGGAGGTGGTGTTCCAGAGCACGGCCACGATGCAGAGCGACTCCAACCCGATGCACCTCCACGGCCACGACTTCTTCGTGCTCGCGCAGGGCCACGGCAACTACGACCCGGCCAAGCACGTGAGGATCTACAACCTGGTGGACCCGCTGCTCAAGAACACGGTGCAGGTGCCGAGGATTGGATGGGCTGTCGTCCGGTTCGTCGCCGACAACCCGGGGGCGTGGTTCATGCATTGCCACTTCGAGTTCCACATCGCCATGGGCATGGCCACGGTGTTTGAGGTGGCCAACGGAGCCACGCCGGAAGACACTCTGCCCCCGCCGCCGTCAGATCTTCCAAAGTGCATACACAAGAAGGAATAAGAAAATACAGGAAGTGAAATACAGTATTATTATGATTATATTCGAGGAAGTTTGCAGAAGATGGGCATTATATATTTATATCTGAAAAGAATATCACGCCACGGTTGGTTGAGGCATCTTGCATTGGAGAAATGCTATTGTATTAACCACCTTATTTTTGAGTAATTCTTGTGACGCCACACAAGGCAGTCTAATTTTAAATAAATTGATTATTGTATTCTATTCTTATTTCTAATAAACACGTGAAATATAAGAGTTGTGTGTTTATATCTATGATCACTAGTACAGAAATGATTTCTCACGGGAGGTTAATAAAGAGAAGGCGCTACTATCCTCGCAAAAAGAGAGAGAGAAAGCGCCACTAGTGTAAAATCTGTGAGCCCGGGCTAAGAACTGCCCGTGTAAACAGCTTTACACCGGCAGTCATACAATGGTGGTTGGTTTAAGGGAACCGTCAGTGTATTTGTTTTACGCTGGCGGTTCACTTAATGAACCGCATGTAGCATCCACTGAAAATCTCAAGTATTGCTCTCACCTACCACCGAATCTCCACCGCTCCTCTCACCTACCGCTGCTGTTCGTAGCTATAAAATCGGCATGCGCGCGCGGAAGCCGGAGCTATCCACGACGCAGCTCGTGTTTGCGGAAGCCTGAGCTCTCCACTGTTTTTCTTGATTTTGTGTTTGGCCACTGCCCACTATAGATAGAATCCACATATATATGGGCTCTCTATGGGAGAAAGCTCTTCACATATAAATTTTATTATGTAGTCAGAATGATGCACACGAGAGGTACTAGAAAAATGTTTTTGAAGAGTTTGGAAATGACTTGGTGATTTTATTCGAGCTCTGCAAGACATACACGTGGTATAAGTTCAAGGGTGGAAAATATGATTTAAAACAAAAAGGAAAAAAAGATGTCCATACGGCTCAAGTATTTGGTAAATTTTGAATAAATATCATACTGTCTAGTATATATGTATACTTAGCAACTATATATATAACCATTTGCAAATTATTATATAGTGCCACAAGCAACAAATTGGAAAGGTCTGCTGTGGATACTACTTGTGCGAGTTTCTCATAGAAAATGGGCGATACACCGTGAACCCTAAGGAAGTAAGTAATAATAGTCATATGTGAAGTTTTATTATTAGTGATGCAAATGCATTGGTCACTTGTAAATATATGATGACTTAATTTTTTTCAGGTATACAAGTGTCGTCCAACGGATAATAGCCTCGAAAATAAAGAGCCCATGAACATTAGCGAGGACATGTCCCGGTTCATCCTGAAAGATATAATTCACTTTGAGGGGAAATGTCATGATGATACCTCTGAGTTAGCTCAGCCACAGTACCGAAATCTTGTAGATATTGCCAGGCTAGAACTTAACAAAGATGATTATTAGAGAATTCATGGAACTTATGAGTTGAAAACTTTGATGTATATACTTGGGTTGATGACTGGTAGAATGAAGTATTGTTTTTTGTCATGCAAATATAATTGCTTGTGATACATGTATATTTGGGTTCGGTTGAATTTTTAAAAACAATTAACTAGTGGGAAATTATAAATTTTAAAAACAATTCACTGACGGTTAAGCTGAAAAACCGCCTCTGGAAACCAATTTCTAGAGGCGGCTCATTTACACTGATGGTTTGCTTAAAGCAACTACCTCTGTAAAAGAGTTTACACCGGCGGTTGGATTAGGCAAACTGCCAGTGTAAATACATTTTACACTACCAGTTGCCTTAAGCAAACCGCCAGTGTAAATGGATTAACACTGGCGCATCTCAAGAATATGCCTGTGAAGTTCGTGATTTTCACTGGCTTTTCACCCTGACGGTTGCCTGAAACGCTAGTGAAAATGCTTCTAGGACTGCCAGGCGCCAGTACAAAGTTTTGTTGTGTACTAGTGGACTTTTTGTTATTAAAGATATTCTTTCTTTTTTTGAATAAATAAAAAAAACTTTCTTGATGTTTAACTTCTGTGTTTTGCTGGTGCATGAGCATATATTGGATACTTGAAACATGAAATGCATAGAGGTCACAATGGTTGATGTTTATGCATGATGATGAACATGATCAAGTTTTAATAGGTGCTTAACACTTAGGGTGTAACACTGTTCTTTCCAAGAACACCATCTATTGGAGAATACCATCATCTTAAGCACCTCAAAAAGAAAGGCCCAATTGACCTTATCATATGCTTTTTAAAATTCTAGCTTCAAAATGAGCTCAGGAGAGTTCCTTCTCTTAGTTTCATCTAAAGCAAGGATTTCATTCCTAGTATTTCTGTTTTTCATAAAAGTAAACTAAGTTCTATGAATAAGCTTGTCAGCTATCTTCTCTATTCGAAGTGTCAGAGTCGTTTTTGTAATGAACTAGTATAAGAAACTCAACAAACATATAGGCCTAAACCGATGAATCTTACAATACAATCATCTTTTGTTTTAGGAAGCAGGGTAATGATCACATAGTTAATTCTACTGCCATTTAGCTTTAACTATATTCCAGCAAGACTGATAAAACTCTATAGGAATAGCATCAGGTCCTGCAGCTTTGTTGGTTTCCATTTCTAACAGAGCATCGTTTATCTCCACTTCAGTGAAAGGTTTACATAAATCCTCATTATCCTGAGAATTTACCACTGCATTTGTCTCTCAAAGTGATTGTTTAGTTGAAAATATGTTTCCAGGTGCTGGCCCAAATAAGTTTTTATAATATTCAGTGGCATGAGCAATGATGTTCTCTTCTCCCAAGTTATATTTTCATTATCCTAGAAAAATAGGATATATTTCTTTCTTTTTCTACATTGACAATTTTGTGAAAGAATTCATATCACCTATGAGAAGTCAGGTTTCATGTGATCTTCTAAGGCACTAGAGTTCTTCATATTCCAACAACTTAAAAATCTCTTATTGAATCTCTGCCCTTTCTAATAAATTGTTCCTGAACTAGATCAACTATTTCTTTCAAGTGTTCTGGAAGCTCTATTTTAGATTGATATTCCTTCCTTTCTCTGCCCTTTCTAGTAAGTTTGGATAACATAATTAAAGAGGCCTGACTTCTTGTGAGCAGCTATCCCTTTATTTTTATCACTATCACGCTGAATTCTTCAAGTATGGACATGGTCACACGGGGCATTGTGTTTCAGAAGAGATAACATTATATGATAGTTTTAAAAAGATACAAAATTATGTCACATGCAGATATTCAATCAAATATCTTTACATGACTCTGAAATATCTCATCTTCATGTGCAATTGGACGACATCAAAGTGCTTTGGTGTTGACATTCCAATTTGCCTCAATTTCCATTAGCACAATAACTTCTTTGATGCATGTTAAATTTATGCTATCAAGAATTGGGCGGAGGAATGGGAGGCGCAATTCTAGTTGTCGCGGTCATTGTTGGTGCCTGCAGCTTCATCGGCTTTGGCTGCAACATCTCTTTGAATGGAAACGGAGGAGAGACCAAGGAGGACAAACAAATGAAATGGCACAACCCCCAACAATTGGCATTTCCTAGAAGGATGTACCTATAACACACAGCCGCACAACTTACAACAAAAAAGGAATGATTACGATAAAAAATATATTATTAGAAATACTTTTGGCATTAATTCCATGATGCTTGAGGCCTCCGCCACGGCCAACCATAGTCCCTTTACACCGCTCTCCAATCCACTAACCAAGGAGGCCGCTCACCACTCACCGCTATCCACCACACCTGATCCCACACGACTCTAGTGGCAAACCATTGCTAGCCCCTTCCGACACCAACACAAAATACTTCAAATATCAACCCCCCTCACGGTGCCTCTTCAACTACTGATGAACTGGCTTCCCTGAAGTTCATTTTATATGCAGCTCCTAACCACAAGATCGCCATGCTTAAATCTAGAGGAGTACAACCTACCTTAGGAGGCGTCAATGCTTTAGATCTGGAGTGCACAGATCGGAGGTGGGGGTTGTTGGGGGGTGGGGTGGACGTGGAGCGGGGGAGCGACAAAATCGTGTTGCAAGTTGTTACTGATAGGAAGCGAATATGAGGTTGAGCCAGCACCACAGAATTTGTTTGATTCCTATCTGATAGCCGTCAGAGGTGTGCAGACGTGATAACTCACTACGCTAGATTTGGACATCACTGCCGGCATCATCACTGTCGGATTTGTGAGAACCGGCAGTGATGTACCTTCACTGCCGGTTATGAGCTGGAAAATGAGAAAATGATTGGGACTAGGCTAAAATCGGCAGTGAAGCACCACATCACTGCCGGTTTGTGGCTTGAACCGGCAGTGTTTTTGCGACCACTTATTACTACCGGTTCAAGCCACAAACCGGCAGTGATTTAGTTGTATCACTGTCGGTTCTAGCCAAGAACCGATAGTGATAAGCCTACAACACAAAAAGGCTGCAGCCGTCCTCTTTTTCCTCCTCTCTTCCATCCCGAGAACAGAGGCGCGCGTTTGGGCCCTTCCCTCCATTGTTGTGGTTGCTCTTCATCATGAAGCTAGCGCTTGGATTTTGAAGAATGGCTTAATCTTTTTGCTTTAAGGTTAGTAACAAACATCCACTCCTTTGATTTTGTTGCTTAATTAGCTTCGTTTTGATGGCTACATTGCTTGATTCTCATTCTAGTTCTTTCTCCATTCTAGAGAGCACTTTTCCAATTGGATATTTGTGCAAGGCTCAAATTGTGGTGAATCCATCATCCAAACGGTTGGTGTCTATAAACACATTTAAATTCCTAGCTAATTATTCCATGGTGGTCAAGATCATCATTGTTAGTATGTGATGCTATAATTAGTTCTTATAAGTAGAGTAGAATAGTTGTTCTTCAATATTGTGCAATAATTGTTTTACTACTATTTTCAATTTACAGGGCCGGGGCTACCAATTTCAATTTTTCAATAATTAGTGTACAATAATGTTTTCCAAAAATAGTACTTTCGAGCTACAATTGTTGTTCATGAAGCTCGATTTCTTATTAAT